CCTCCTCCCCTGCGCTGGGCTTCAGGAAGAGAGACCGAACCGTGACTGGCCTGTAGGGACAGAGGAGACAGGGCTAGCCCCTCCGCCCCCCTCCAGGTGCCGGAGGAATGAAGCTCAGAGCTGCTGGAGGTCGGCCTGCAGCAGGAGGGGCAGCAGGAGGGGCAGCAGGAGAAGCAGCAGGAGGGGCAGCGGGAGGGGCAGCAGGAGGGGAAGCCCCCCCTAGAGAGTGGTGAGGGCAGTGGGGCCAGGGACAGGCGGAGGCGCAAGAGCTCCTATGACCCATCTTGCCAGTGTGTAGGCACTGCGATGCGGTGAGCAGAGCTCCTTGCCCTAAACTGACTGGCCCCATGGCGGCCTCAACTCCACCTTCACTGCTTCGGCTCTTCGGGTCTTGGTCACCTGGAAGCCTCCTCTTGTTAAACGGGAAGAATCGCTGAGCTGGGATCGAGAGGGAGGGGGTGGGTTGTGGCTGGGAGGCTGTGGCTAAACTGGCCGGCCTCAACTCCACCTTCACTGGAAGCCTCCTTTTCTTAAACGGGAAGAATCGCTGAGCTGGGATCGAGAGGGAGGGGGCGGGTTGTGGCTGGGAGGCTGTGGGCCTGGGCACTCGTCTTAACTCTAAGGTGCTTCTGCTGAGCCTTTGGATGTGGACAGGAATACGGGACAGAGGAAGGGATTCATGGGGGATGCACTGGGGTTTTCTTGTGACTGAACCAGCCCCTCAGCTGCGCACAGGGCTCAGAGGGAGGCCAAGGCTGCAGGACCAGCTGATAGAAAGTATCTCCCACAGCCTCGCTGGAGCGGGGAGAGGGCGAAGGACATGCAGGAGCCCACTCCTCTCCCGCCAGCTACTGGGCGGCCTCCGGGGCAGTGGGAGGAGGTGGCCATCCCCTGACTTTCTTCTCTTTTTTTGGAAAATGATAGAATGTGTATTTAAAGAAATAGGAAGACACAAAATACATTTTTTAAAAGGGAATAAAATCACCCATAAATCACCATTTAGCATCTAGATACACATTATGAATACACATGCTTTTCGTTATCTTTTTTACATTTTTATTGATTGATTGTTTTTAGAGAGGAAGAGAGACAGAGAGAGAGCCATCAATTTGTTGCCCCACGCGGGGAGAGGGCGAAGGACATGCAGGAGCCCACTCCTCTCCCGCCGGCTACTGGGCGGCCTCCGGGGCAGTGGGAGGAGGTGGCCATCCCCTGACTTCCTTCTCTTTTTTTGGAAAATGATAGAATGTGTATTTAAAGAAATAGGAAGACACAAAATACATTTTTTAAAAGGGAATAAAATCACCCATAAATCACCATTTAGCATCTAGATACACATTATGAATACACATGCTTTTTCTTATCTTTTTTTACATTTTTATTTATTGATTGTTTTTAGAGAGGAAGAGAGAGAGACAGAGAGAGAGCCATCAATTTGTTGTCCCACTTATTTTTTTAAAATATATTTTTATTTATTTCAGAGAGGAAGGGAGAGGGAGAGAGAGATAGAAACATCAATGATGAGAGAGAATCATTGATTGACTGCCTCCCGCACACACCCTACTGGGGCTCGAGCCCGCAACTAGGGCATGTGCCCTTGACCGGAATCGAACTTCAGTCTGCAGGCTGATGCTCTATCCACTGAGCAAACTGGCTAGGGCTGCCCCATTTATTGATGCATTCATTGGTTTCTTGTAAGTGCCCTGACCAGGGAGTGAACCCATAACCTTGGGGTATCAGGACGACTTTCTAACCACCTGAGCTAACCGGCCAGCGCTCCTTCCTATCTTTTCTCTGAGCACACGTCCTTCCCCCACCCCAAATGCTGAATAAGGTTCTGTGGCCTCGTTCGTTCGTTTGTTTCACTTAGCAGTAGATGTGAGCTCTCCCAGGTCCTTTGAAGTTATCTGACCAACCAGTGGCCACGGCTGCATAGTGCTCCGCAGGAGGAGGGTTCCTCACTCAGTCGAGCGGTTTCCTTTCTGGGACTCTGGGACTCTGACAGCCCCGCCCGGTGGACCCCAGCTGAGGGACGACCAGCCCCAGTGTCCAGGCTGACTTCACAGGACTGCGGTCTGTCGTGGCTGAGGGAGGTGGGATGAGCATTCCTGATGCAAATATCTCCCTCCCAGCCTGTCACGCAGCCTAGAATTACATCATTTACGTCTCATTCTTGGGATCTTAAGATTTTGTTTCTTTTGCCTACAGTGCTCCCTATTAAATTAAATACAACTCCAAGACAACAAAATAAAATGAAATCGAGAGCCTTTCTTTGGTCACCCCATGCACAGCCAGCTCAGAGCAAGATGCGTAACAATCCGAGAAGCAGTGTCCCAGAGCAGCAGTGCTGGGCGAGGAGTCCTAGACGGGCCGCTAGTCCTGTGTATTGTGGCAAGTGTCCCCAGGCCCCAGGCTATTGGTATGAAAAAGAGGGTGCCTCGCTGGGTGATCCCACTCATCTCTGCTTCTGGAAGTGGTGCTGGAGCTGGTGATGAGCGGGGAGGAGAGGTGCCACCACGTGGGCAACTTCATCATGTTCTGGCTCTGGGCACCGGGGTCGGGGAGGGGACACCAAAGAAGCGAAGAAACTCCATTCCTGTCCTTTAGGAAGTGATGATCGAGTTGGCAGACATGTGGACAAGCATTCAACTTGGACAGATGCATGCATTTGGCCCCTCTCAAATATTCCAAGTGCTCTTATGCAGTAGCATGACCCCTAACTACAGTGCATTAGGAAAGGGAGGTGATCAAGGATGGCTTCCTGGAGCTGGTGGTTGAGCTGCCCAGTGACCACAAGGCCCTGAAGCAGTTCTGTGTGATCCCTACACCAGCAGCTTCAGCATCGCCTGGGAGCTTAAAAAATGCAAATTCTTGGGCCGTCCCCAGATGCAGCAGTCTGCACTCTAAACTTTGAGAACCTGTCTATAACGGTTCTACTCAAAGCGTAGCCCAAGGGCCAGCTTTAGCATTCCGGGAGCTGGTTAGAAATGCAGGGTCTCAAGCCCACCAGACCTGCACTTGAACAAGCTCCCAGGGGTTCCATGGCTCCATGTGTGAGGAGTCCTGCCGTGGCTGAGCCGACCTTAGGCTCCTGCAGCGCTGGGCAGGAGTGCTGGGCTGCACAGCTCCACACAGCGTTTCACCAGGACGAGGTGGGGGGAGAGGGGGAGCAGTGATGTGCCATCCTGGGGCGATCCTGGGTGTGGTCTGCAGTGCCGTCTCTGCCTTCAGTTCCAGGGGAGGTGATGGGGATGCAAATCACCTTAAACAGCCCTCTGTTTTGTGTTTTACAGATTAATTTCATACTTTTTGTAAACATTCTAAGAATCCTGATGAGAAAACTGAGAACCCAAGAAACAAGAGGAAATGAAGTAAACCATTATAAGTGAGTCGGGGTGGTGGGGGGGGGCAAAGTCTTAGGCAAGCTCAGCCAGCACACATTTACTGAGCACCTACTGCTCACCCAGCTGGTGCTAGGCACCACTGGACACGGGGGAGAAGGGAAAACCGTGACCTAGTTCCAGGGAGTTTATAGTATAAATAGGGGCAGGGGAACGGGTCTGGGGTGAGGAGATAGGAAATCCCAGCGGGACCCAGGAGTCAGGGATTTCACCCTTGGGAAAAGGCTAGGTGGGTGTATTTTTCAGGGAGAGTGACCTCAACTTCCATCAAATTTTTAAGATCTGTAATCCAAGAATACTTTAAAACTGTTCAGATGTTAAAGAGAGATGCTGTATTAGTTTGATAGGGCTGCCATAAAATTCTACAGAATTCTGAACAAGGGATATTAAATTTCTCACAGTTGTGGAGGCTGGAAGTCCAAGATGAAGGTGTCGGCAGGTTTGATTTCAACGGAGGCCTCTCTCCTTGGCTTGTAGTCAGCTGCCTTCTAGCTGTGTCCTCATATGAACTTTTTCCTGTGCTCACATAAGCCCCACACTAATGACCTCAACTTAATCACCTCTTATAGGCCCTATTTGAAAATACTATAGTCATATTCTGAGGTCCTGCAGGTTAGAGCTTGAACTTGTGAATTTGGGCGGGGACACAATTCAACCCATCACAGATATTAAAGGCAAAACAGTGTCTCCCAGAGACTTTCTCTGCTGTGTTCACAGTGTTAAGAAGCTAGCAGCAGCCTGGATTGCTTGGTGACAGATTCCTTAGGATGTCCACAGGGCAGTGGGCTCCAAAGCAGGGTGGAGCTGGGCATTCAGGATAAAATGGCCAGATAAGCCCAGGCTGCTCAGTTCAATTTAAATTTTGGATAAACAACAAATAGTATTTTTAGTACTTACACTCCCCAAAAATCCATTGTTTATTTGAAATTCAAATTAAAGTGGGCAACCTGTATTTTTAAAAATATATATTTTATTGATTTTTTACAGAGAGGAAGGGAGAGAGATAGAGAGTTAGAAACATCGATCAGCTGCCTCCTGCACACCCCCTACTGGGGATGTGCCCGCAACCAAGGTACATGCCCTTTACTGGAATCCAACCTGGGACCCTTCAGTCCGAAGGCCACCGCTCTATCCACTGAGCCAAACTGGTTAGGGCACAACCTGTATTTTTATTTGCTAAATTTGGTCAATCTAATCTGGGAAGAAAATGAAAGAATTTCACCTTATCATCAAACAAATATGAGTGCTGGCCTTGCTGATACTATATTAGGCCTAGAGTGGCAGTCGTGTCTGCACATCATTACGAGTAAATAGTTATTTGAGCGGGTCCATGTTCTGATTTCTTTACTGGTGGGATGCCTGGTCAGGAAGTTTTGGGACTGGCCATGTGTTGGTAAGTGTTGTGTCTCAGTGATGGGTACATGAGAGTTGAAAGTTTTCCAAAGTGAAAACAAAAAGTCTGGGGACACTGCTGCTATGCCTCCTGCAAAAAGCAAGATGGGGTGTGCAGAGCCGGGCGCCCACGGGCGGGTGAGGGACAGAGACTGCAGCGTGTCCCTGCGTCCGCAGGCGTCTGGCCAAGTCCACCCTCCTGCTGATCCCTCTCTTCGGCGCCCACTATATCATCTTCGCCTTCTCGCCAGATGATGCCATGGAGATCCAGCTGTTTTTTGAACTGGCCCTGGGCTCATTCCAGGTAAGTTTCAGGCCTGTGACTTTCAGGCGAAAAAAGTAGCTCCCTGTTTCCTGAGAGCAGCATGCAGGCCTAGACTGCAAGCCCGGCCTTCCGGAAGGGCTGAGCGGTGCGCTTGGGGAAGGTGGGTGCCGTGGCAGAGACCCAAGAAAAGCAGGGACAGGACCTCACTGTGCTGTGTGACCCTGAGGGGACCCAAGTCCCCACCAGTCAAGTGGGGGTGGGAGGTAAGACTAAGGAGAGAGAGACCGATTCCAGGAAACAAAAGGGGAAAGTAACCCTAACACGCAGTATTGTGCAACTTTCAGCCTCCACGCAGTCAGTGATGTGAGCCCCGAGGCTATGGCTGAGCCATCAAAAAGTGGGGCAGGAAGATGAGCATTGCCGGAGGGTGTTTGAAAGAATAATATCCTCATATTCATATTGGGAAGTCCATAGAAATGCCCCAAACTGAGAAGTCAGAAGTAGCAGCATCAGCATATTATTTAGAATCAGTTAAGAGTTCCAGCAGTTGCCCCTGAGGAACAGGAAATGGGGGAAGGGGGTGTCAGGAGGCTGCTGTTTTGTGTGACTAGAATCATTTGACTCTAAAACCATGAGCATACACAACTTATTGAAAATAAAAACCAACTTAAAAGGGGAAAATATGAAGGGAGAAATTGCCTACCTACTAATTCAACATAGGTTGTGAGGTTAAAAAAAAATAGTAACCATGTTTGGCGACAGGGGCTCCCCAGTTTCACAGGTCACTTGCTTATCTGCTCACAGTTGTATCCTTCCACAAACAATGTGGTGTAGCTTTCAGGGAAAACAGACAGAGGGCAAAAATAAGTCATGAGGGGTCAGTGAAAAAAGAAAATTAAGCCAAAAGAGTTCATACAGAAGCCAACTCCATTAAGTCCTGTAAAGGTGGGACAGGTGGGTCAGAAACTTGGTCTGGAGCTTCCCAGGAGCCAAAGCAAAGACAGAAACACAATTTGTTTCAAGATTTACAGTATCCACAGATGAAAACGAGCTAGTGCCCTGGAAAGGCCTCTGGATTACAGGCTTTGGGGCCTGAGAGGAATTTTCCCCCTCGGGTTTTCCTAGAGAAGCCAGCCTGTTCCCAGCAGGCTCCAGCAGGCCTCCGTCCTCTTCCCCGGGCTGGCCAGGGCCCGGCGAGGGGCTCAGAGCCACCTCACTCCCAGGTTCTGTGCAGGGTGGCCTAGTGCTCAGAGCCTCCTTCTGCTCTGTGCAGGGCCATCCTTTTGTCACTCTCAGGTTCTGGAGGACACATCACTGGGAACACATAATTGAGTGGAGTCAAGTTTTGCCCTAAGCCACGCCCTC